CATGTATGACCTGCTCCGCATAGAACGATTAAGTAGAACAGTAAGATTTAGTACATTTCCGGTAATGCCAAGTATTACGATACACGGATACAGGAATCGTTGCAGATATTTTTCCAATTCATTTCCGTGTAATCGCATTTGTTGATTTGTTAAACAAATATTTGTCGCATTGTTTGACATATCTAAAAGTCAGAAAAAAGAATGAAAATATAAAACAAAGAATTATTTATCAAAAGACAAAGAAACGAATGATAAAAGCTCATTTCTTTCTGCTAATTTTAAATATTTAAAAAATATTTCTCTTCACAATATTAAATAAATAGCAATCAATAGCTAACTTTATGGATGGATATTATTTTCATTTGAATTAAACCATCAATTTTGGAATAAGCTTATGCTTTCCCAAAAAGAAACCAAAAAATGGCATTCAAGTAGGAATCGGAAAAAGGAAAAAATTATCGAAAAAAAAAAGTTGAATTCAAATTAAATCTATATTAACTAATTTTAACATAAGAATTGAGTAAACGAAAAATATAATACAAAATTTATTTCACTTAGAATACAATCTGATTCTTTTCTTCATTTTCGTAGAAAAACTTTCCGAAATTTTCATTTGTCTTTCAAATTGTCATAAAACCAAACGTTTCTTAAGGAAAAATTTACTGCTAATTAAGCCAAATTCATCGCATTATGTTTCAATTAATTTAATGGTTTTGTTTTTTTTTTTTTTTTTTTGGTATTTCATCTGCTTTTGTTGACAAAAACAATTTACTTCAACATTTATCTAAATAAAAAAGTTTATAGAAAATGGATCACTCATATCTTTGGAACAAATTCAAAAGCTTAATTAAATATTATTATATTAATAGTGGATGACAGTTCTATTAATAAATCAAATTTTTTTGCAATATTTTTTTTATTTAATTTAGAGCTTTTTAAAGCAAATTTCATTATGTCATAATGAGCAAAAAATAGATATATTATTTATTGCTTATGGAATTTAACAAAAAAATTTTTTTTTCTTGAAATAATTCTTTGAAATTATTTCACTAAATTTTATTTTTTAATTCCTTTCAAATACAATAGCTACTGCTAGAAAACACACTTTATTTTGAAAGAAGTTTGAGTAAGCTGAAAAAACAATTTAAAAATAAGTGAAATCTATACGAACAGACAATTTAATAATATGTTGTCTTCTAAATTATTTGTTAAGATTCTAATCGTAGAAACAAAATGGATAAAACAAAAACTTTCTCAGTGAAAAAATTTGCAGAAAAGATAAAAATCAGAAATGGATAACAATTGTTTATCGCATTGATAATGGTATGATTACTCAATCGTATTTGTATTATCAAAGATGGAAAATAAACAGAGAATGCAACAAAATTCATATTTATAAGAAAATGTATTTGCATTGATTTTATGTATACAATTCCATGATTTTATAAAAATTCAAAAAAAAAAAGGGAAATGAAAATGGAAAAAAAAAATTTTTAGATAAATTTTTTCCAGTTCTTAAATTCTTACTTATTATACTTTTACATTTTGCATTTTAAAGTCGGATGAAAGTAAAACATTCAGTGAAAAATGTCAAACTTTTTTTGAAACGAATGAAAAAGATTATTGTGACGGAATGTTTTCTTTAAAAAATCGCTATTTTCAATTTCTCATTGTTACAATTGAATCATTAAAATTAATTCTACTACTTTCTGTTTAATTCTACAATTGAATGTTAAATAGTTTTTTGCAATAACAATCGAAACATTTCAATTAATTTACCTTATTCGTTTCATTAGCAAATGGTATAACAGTTGTTAGTATCGGATAAGGTAGCACACAAATGCAAATATCTCTGGGAATTATCATAAACATATCTCAAAGATTAATCCTATCTTAGCTTTAAATCTTTGTGAAATCATTTCACTCATTTAGAATAATCCAAAATTTCAAATTTAACAAAAGCCAATTCAAAATTAATCAAATCAAGAAGAAAAAAAGCTAATTTAAACTCAAAGTCATCCATTTTTCTCTTCCATAGATCCTTTCTTTTTTTCTTTTTCATTTTTTTGAAGAACTAAATTGCATTTAAAACGATTGACATCAAATAATGTGTTAATAGTTCATCAAACTTAATGATATTTCCGGAAAATAAACAAGCAAAGAAATAGAAGAGAGAGAGAGAGAGAGAGAGAGAGAGAGAGAGAGAGATAAAAAAAAAGAAATGACTGAAAAAAAAAAAAAACTTTTTTTGATGTTTTTCTCTTGCTGGCAAATATTTTTGTCATTTTTCGCTAACCTAAAAAGTAACTTGAAGAAATATTTGTACATAATTAGATTTCTTTTAATATATTCCATTTCATATGAGTAAATTAAAAATTTTTGCACAAATATTCAAAACTATTAATTAAATTGCCAATCAATTATATGAAGTTATTAATGTCAAATATATTAAATATGTGAAAAACGTTGATTAACTATGTCAGATGTATCACAGCAAATACAATTTTCAATTTGTTTCCGAAAAGTTTGCAATGTAATTAATCTTCGAACTGTTATAGTGAAATGGAAATTATAAATTGTAAGTAAATGTATGAGATGCTGTGCACTTGCAAATTTTCAACTTTCACTAATTAATATTATTCAGTTATTGAGCTAACCGAAAAAATTTAGAGAGAAAACGAATGATTTGAATATTGCATTTCTCAAGGACTAAGGAAATTAATTCTTAAAATTATTCAAATAATAATTTTCTTTTGTTCAATGCATCATTACAAACAAATTACTTCAAACTTTTAACTTTCAATTTCAATTCTTTCCTTTCAAACTATTCCATTTTCTCGTCGCATATCTTTTTTAATTAGTAATAGTTACTCGCATGCAGCGATCTCTTTTTTCTTCAATGAAAGGGAGAAAAAAAAAATAAATCTTCCAGATGGGACTTTAATGAGGGGAAAAAGGATGTGAAATCGATATTTTCGGTATATCAGGAAAAACGGAAACATTCCTATTCCTTCCGTCTGTTTTATTGTGCTGAAGCAATATTCAGTTGATTTTATTTTTTGAAAAACTTTTAGCCATAAAATTTTGCCCATTTTGCCACAATTTCCTTTCATTCCTATTGGCTTAGTTTAATGTTAAAGAAAAGGAAGAAGCGGAAATTTCCTAGAAGAATAATTAATTAATTTTACGAAGACAAAAAGACTTTGTTTATTCAAAATAAAAGAAAAATTGGCGAAAAAGCAATGAATATAATTTCAATTCAAAATTATTAAAGTTTATATTTACTGAGTTTTTTGTTTTTAAATTTTTTAAATCTTTCAATGAATTTGATACTAACTTTCTTAAAAGACTTTTAATTCAGCTAATCCAATGCCACGAAATTTTTATGTAATCAAAATGGTAACAATATGAATTTCTTCAAAAGTATTACCATATTCTTTCAGGAAATCTCGTTACATGCACTTTTTGTTAGTTATTGAGTTTTTAATTTAAGTTATATTATATTTAACAAATTCCTCATATAAATGCTTTTCAGATTTTCTTTTTTTGTTATTTGTTATGCTCGTTTTATGTCACAAAATTTCACTTTTATTTAATCTCTATTTTTTTTTTAAATAGTACTTAAATTTTTTTTTTTGACCATGAATGAGTCACAAATCTTGGCTACCATTGGGTCCTAATTTTGCACGAAAACTTCGTTTAATGAATTTTGTCTGATTAAATGATCCTAAATGATTTCTTTTGTCAAATGAAAAAATGAATATTTGTTTGGCTAAATTGGGCTGAAATAACAAATAAATTGGGACTAACGATTAAACGAAATTTGCAAACAAAGCGTATAAATTTCATCTTATCGTTTAAAATAAATTGTAAGTCTTTTGATAAAGCAGTAACTTTTGAAAATTAAGCAATGTGAGCATGAAAAAATTCTTTTGAAAAAAATTTTCACATAGAAGTTTTTTTTATAGCTCTGTGAATGATATAACTGATAATTTGTAGAAAACATATTAGCACATTAAAAATTTTTGAGACTTTAAATTTAAAACAAATTAAACTTGAATTATTATATGAGAAATATATAAAACAAGTCAGTATTATTAGTATCATCAATGAATTCAAGTTAATTATTAGTGCCATAAAGAATTGAAAAATTTTTATGATAATATTATCTCACCTATATTATATAATTATTTTTTTTTTCCCAATTTCTGTATTACCTTCTGAATTTCTTCCAACAAACTAGTATAAATATATCGCATGAAATAAAAATATCACTGTGCCAGTGAAACATGATAGAATTCTATAAGTATTAGTGTAGCTCGATAATTACTGAATGTTCATCCAGATACAAATATCCGGAAAATCAAACCGTACCGTACATATCAGGGAAATACCGTCCGTATCTTTGTGATTATGAATGATACGATTCGTTCGATCTTGCATAATGTTTATTCCACTTCGGTGATAATTGCATAAATAAGGTCTAAAAGGAACACTATTTTGCATTACTGACATGTTAGCAACAGTGTCCTGGTGAATCAGGAATGAATGGAAAGTGGGAAAAACTCAAATTAAATAATTTGAATAATGGACTGATGATTTTTCAGGACTTCATTTCTTTTTCTAAAATTCAATATTCGATTAACTGTCCGACTTTTTGACTCATATTTTAAACTTCTTTACTCTTGAAGATTTGCAATACTGTCAACAAAGAGTTTCAAATGACTGAAATTTTTTATATTACATTAAATTCTTATGTTGTTAAGTATTGAAATTCAAAATTAAAAATGTAGCACACGCAAAAAATAAGTAGATTACAAAAAGAATTCGGAACAGAGTTTTGGATGATTAAATTTTGCTTACAACACTTCAGGATAATTAAGAGATCAACCTAACGATCTCAAAATTATCCGGAAAATCGTAACTATAAAAAGAATTTATCTGTCAAATAAAATCGATAACTACATTAACACAATATAAATGAAATGAAGCAATAAAAATCAATAAACGATGGCAGTTTTATCGTTCTGCCTCTGGCATTCAACAGTATGCAAACCACTGGTTGTTAAAACTGCTAACTTATCATCTCTGAGAAAAATCATTGATATCACTGACACATGCATTTCAATAACTGAGTAGGGAGCTGCATAATTATCATCTGATAACAAATCTGCTCGTTTATATATCAAAATGACCTAAATGAAATCAATAAATGGTTTGAAATTAAAATTGGTTTATTTTTGAAAAAAAAAATAGTAGGAAAATCAAAATTGAAATCTCTAACCATCGAAACGCTAAAAATATAATCAATTTCAAATATGCAAAAAGTAAATAATGATATGCAAAGAACGGAGTATTACAATACTCATCACAGTTATGTATGGTTCATCGAATTACAGAAGTAAACTTAAGAAGCCATTTCAATTTACGAGACTATTTAATTTTTCCAAAAGAACAGCCCAACTTAAAATTTTGTTAGCTCGAAAATTTCAAAGTAGAACTTACTCCACCATATGTTCCAATTGCAATCAACTGATGACCGGATGCAGAACATACAACAGCATCATGGCCACGTGTATCCTCCAATACCGTCATTCTTTTCCACTCAAAATGACTTTTATCCGGAGATAGAAATAGCATCCATACGGCTGCTGGTCCTAACGTTGAAGATACTAGCACCGAAATTTTATCCTCTCGTCCAATGTGTTGCAAAATTAGCAGAACTGATATGGCACCAGAAAATTTCAATTTACTCCTGCAAATCGTCCCAAAAAATAATCGAAAATGAAATTAATCTTGCAATAAAGGAGTAATAAATTATCTCCAGGAAAAAGATAAATAGTAAAAGAATAATTAAGTTAATAGAAAATAATAAATACCTGTCCTCTATAAAATTTGTTCGCATCGATAATGCTGTTACAATCACATAACCTGTATCAAAACCAAGTACAGACCATCGATATGTTGATGTTTGAAGACAATTTGATCTGCAAATGGAAATGATAAAATTGCAAAACATTATCTTCAACATTATTTATTTTAATTGCTCCTATCATTGCTGATAGCAAAACTGCAATATAACACCTTCAATATCATTTATATTACGATTATGAATTAGTATTATATTACGAATAATCGTACTGTTATCTAAGAAATCGAAAATAAATAAATGACCTAATAGCAGAACCTGGTAGATCACCCAAATCAAGTCCTGGATAAATGTCACCAACTGAATCAATCTCTTCTACTTCAAGTGATACGGGCTGAAATTTCAACTTCTTCAAGTAAAACTCATAAAATCGGAAATAAATGCTAATTTGTTATTTTATTCATTAAAATCTAAATAAAAAAGTTATTCATTGAAACCTGGACAACAAATAAACGAGCAGCACGTGAAGCGGTAAATATAAGCCAGCAGTGGCGATTATTAGCAACCGCTGCCTCAGCTGTTATTCGAGTATACGAAGGAACATTATCAAGTTCCAATTTATAACCTGAAAAAGAAAAAAAAAAAACATCTAAAAAGTAACAGTAATCGTAGATAATGTTTAGATCCAAACCAAAGAATGACAAATAAAAATAATAAATCTAAAAAATTTTTAATTCAAAAAAATCTGAGAATACAATATGATTTGTAATCGATAACTTACTTAAACTGAATTTACAATCGGCTGTTATTTTGAACATTGCAGCAAAATAACGTTTTGGTAGCCAAAACTGATCAAATAATACCCAACTACAAAGAAAATTTGATTTTAATATAAGAACATAATAAAAAAGCAAAACGAAAATTTTTTTGCTAAGTAAGTATTTACTCTTTTTTTGACAAATAATAATAATTTAAAAATGATCTAAAAATATTAAGAAATTGAAAGAAAAGCAAACCATGTAACAAGAACTGCTACATCATCACTGCCACTTTGTTTTGTATAATCAGATGCAACAATTTCCAAATTTTCACCATTATCTAGATTTTCGTTGAATAATACAACTAAATCTGTTGGTTCTGTGTCATTTGTCCAATGTACTTTTCCGGACAATGTAACACAAATAACGTTATGCTCTAGAAAATTCTCAATTTAAAACAAAAGAAAAGATCAGTAACACTGCAGAAATTAGAAAGAAATAATTATTTAACAGTTTGCAAGGAAGCGTATATCTTTTATATCTTTTTCGTAGGAAGATAAAGTGTAACACTTTAAGGAAAATTTAGTGAGTAGTCAATTTCTTCGAATCACCTGATAATTGGTGCAAACTATACGTATTGCAATATAAAAGAGGAATAAAGCTCCGCTCCTTCCACTTCATTTTTATTGCTTTTAATTCACTTTTCTCTATTTGTTTAAATGATATTCCTGGTACGCGACCTGAAATTTTCTTTGCTAAACTTTTTTCTCGGTTAAAAAAAAAAAAAAAAAAACCTAATTTCGGAAATGTCTGCAAAAAAAAAAAATCTTTATATTTGCATTATTAATAGACAACATTCATTTTTAAATATAATATTTATCAATGAAAGAAAAAACTTACTGAAATACAGGGAATTACTAGCAGTTCAATTATTATAAATAAAAACAACCTTGAAATTTCAGTATTTAGGACTAATGTATTGCAGCAGTACTTTTCAAAAACTTAAAATATTTCATATTCTTAAAATATTCTGGAAGTTTAATTATCGAGATAAAATAACCAGCTTGGATTCTTCGGCGGTATTTGGGATCGATGTCTTTGCTGGAGTTACTTCTTCACTTGTTCCTGAATTTTTCAGTGCTACCTCATCGGCCTCAAGTAAAGCAGTAAGTTCACTGTAATATAAAGCAACTGTTTGCGGTGCCAATTTGCGTCGTAAATATGAAACTACAACTGGATGATCAGCAAAGTTGTCTTCGAAGCAATGCTCTGATTTTGTCAACAAATGGAAAAGCTGAAAGATAAAAAAGGAAAAAATTAAGTAAAATCACTTATAATACATTTCTTTGAATAATTCAATTCCCTAACTTGAAATATTCTATTTGCAAACAGATATTTTATTATGGATTACTTCAACCGATTTCAGCCTGTGCAATTTATCGCACTTCATTTTTACTTAATAATATTTACATAACAGATTCTGAATTTTACTATAATTACAGTTGTTGTGCAACTGCTTTTTTGTTATTCTGATACTTTACCACAATGAAGAGATTAAAAGTTTACAAAATTATTTTTCAGAGCAACTAAAATTCTCAAACATAAAATATGACTTAGTTAAAAGATACCCAACCTTATCTTCTCGATAACTTTTCAAATCATTCAATATATCTTTGGAATTTAACTGCGCTTCGTCTTTGCGTAACTTTCGCAATTTATTTTCTGCAAACAATTTATAATTTAATAAAAATTCTCAATCTGTTCTGTGCTACTGCAATTTGATCAATTCCTGCTTCAAATCGTACTTCATGAAAAAAGGTTATCACTGGAGTGATCATCTTTATTTATTTTTCTTAATACTTTCCAAATTAACTCCATAATTAACTTCTATATGAGTTTCTTATATAGGCACACTAGAATTAACAATTCATTCTAGACTAAGCACAGTACTAAAATTTTATTCATCCAGAGAATAGCTTGAGTTTACTTACAAAATTTTTACTTCTTCCTTAAAAAAAAAAAAAAAAAGAAAAATTACTTATGATTCCTATAATTATTCTTATTCACTACCAATACTATCTTACTAAATCCATTGAAATTATGTTAAGTTAATCTTCATTATGTTAAATTTCCTTCACTTAATTAATCTTAATTAATCACAATTGGATTTACCCAAAGTTTTGATATAATTCTCGTCCACTTCCGTTTTTGTTATTGCTTCCCATTTAGGAAATGTATCCATTTAGCAATTTCCGACAAATTTCATTTCTAATCCAATAAATCAGATATATTCGTGTAATTTGATCAAAACGAAGAAGCACTAAAATTTGATTAATTTCAAGTGCAACAAAATAAAATGATAAAATTCACTGAAGTTCAATCTAATGAAAATAACTTCATTGTATAAAAATAAGTGATTAGTAATTTACTGTTACGATATCAATTAACCCTAATTATTTTAAATTCTAAAACTAAATAATACCTGTTTAGCACTTGCTGGCATATTCTAAACGAAAATAATTTCACAATTAGAATAATTTCTTAAATACAAAATGAAATATCAAATGATACAAAAAATGGAAAATTACAACAAACATACATCAAAATTATTTTGCGATAGGTTTAAGCTTAAATTGCTACTTACTTATTTATCATTTATCAAAATTATTTCCTAATTTGATGCAAATCTATTTGGCATTCATGGATAATTTGAGATGTATTATTTCGATATATTTATTGCTTTTTGTGGAAATTTGCACCCTATTTACGTTTTTCTTTTTTTTTTTTTTTTTATTATATTGAAAAATATAATTTAATTGATGAATGTAAGCATGTTTTTTATGTTTTTTTTTTTTTTTTTTTTTTTTTTTCTATCTTATATATGTATATCTTTGTGGATAAAAGATGTATTTTTTGATTAGTGGAAAGTTATTAGTGGAATTTTGAGTTGCTTAATTAGTTGACTTTATTATTATTTTCTTCTTTATCTTCCGAACTTTTTTTCTAAATTTATCTTTGTGTCTTTTAATATGGTTGCAATAGGAAATAGGTGAAAGGGACATTTAGTCACTTTATGCCTGATTATCTAATCATTAAGTGATATGGCTCTTTCCTTGCATGCGACATTTCGGTCATTCCCACGTTAAATTTTACATATTCGAGTAATGATGTCGAAGTTATAATAACTTTCGTGTGTAATATGTAATATAGCTTATGAAAACTTTTGTTAAAATTTAGGAGGAAAAAAAAAGATGACAAATGGAAAATTTTGATAAATTAAAAGAAAAAACGACTTCTATTTTGTTGAAATTTTGTAAGAATTAAAAATGAAAGTGTTACTAATCATTGTTTGATCTTTCTTCTCTTTCTTCTTCTTTCTAATTCGAAATGAAATAAATATGGAATATTTGGAATATTTGCTTGCATTGAACTGATAAAATCTCATAATTTTTTCTGATTTCATAATCCTCGGCCCGAGTCGCATTTTAGATAGGAGTTAAACACGGCCGAGTCACAATTTAATGGTTTATGAAGACATTTGCTTAGTACTATTTATTGCTGTTCGTGTCATAACCTTTGTGTGGTTGCGTTTTGTTCTGCTACCGCGGTAGTGTCACGTAGAGGAATTTAAGTTTATTCGATTTTTTGGTTAAACTTTTCTTCTGATTGCATTTTTGCATTGGCAAATAAATTGACAAATTTTCGATTAATTGTTGATTTCTAGGATTGATAAATAAATTTGAGATTGTTTAGCTAAATTTGTGGAATTTCTGATGAGTCTTCTAAATTCTAATAGCATTTTGTAACAAAGGTCACTTCCGTTGTAAGCTTTCTTGAAAGATGAACGATTATTTATTGGCCTGTAAAACTAGCCGGTATAGCCTGTCAAACTCTTGGTTAAAGTTTTCTTTAGCATTTTAATCATTGAAAGTTTTTTTCTGGGTGGTATTACTAAACATTGTACTAAATTGTTTGCTTCTGGTTAAAGTTTTAGAATTTGCTACTAAAATCACAATTTTTTATGTTTGCTTTTTATCACATTGGCATTACATTATAACCAATGACGACTCATTTTATGAGATCTTTTTTACAAACTTTCTGACCTAATAACTTAATTTCAGTCTGGTTTCCCTCATCTTCTTGATTTATTTCTTGAATTCTAAAGCTGACAGATATAGTATCAACGACATAAGATATGTCAAAGCGAAATCGAAAACAGATCGAGCCAACGGCGGAAGATCTGTCAAACGTTGAGTTTGAAACATCGGAAGAGGTTGATGTTGTGCATACTTTTGATAGTATGGGACTGGGCGAAGAATTATTGCGTGGAATCTACTCATATGGTTGGTTCTTTTTTTTTTTTTAAACAAAAAAGGAAAATTTGCTTGAAGAATAGGACGGTGAAAAAGTTACCCAAAGGAACAGTTGTACGCTACTACCAACATGACGGTTGTGAGTAAAACTATAATTGTAAAGAAAACTCTGTTCCAAGCCTCGTTCTATTGCAGCTTGTTTATGTGTATTGCAGCTTGTTTATGATTTAAAAAATTTATTGGCATTGAAATATATTTTCCATTGGCTAATCATTTTGTTTGCATTTCCACGCTATAAAAATTGTTTAAATAACTTTAGTTGTTTCGTCACTTACTCATATTGATACTTGGTAATACTGCAGGATTTGAAAAGCCGTCTGCAATTCAACAGCGTGCTATCAAACAAATTGTCAAGGGTCGGGATGTTATCGCACAGTAAGTTATATTCTAAATTAATTTGATGAGGAAATGTGATCATGTTGATTGTAAGTTTAGGCAATATGCAAGATAGATTTGACTTTCAATCATAGTGATTGATTTTCATCAATTACAATATTTCAGAGCCCAATCTGGTACCGGAAAGACGGCGACATTTAGTATTGCTGTATTGCAATCGTTGGATATATCGCTACGTGAAACACAGGCGCTTATCTTATCACCAACTCGAGAATTAGCTGTGCAAATACAAAAGGTATGCGTATTTATTTAATTCACGTTTGCCATGAAATTGAGACCTTACAAAAGTAGTTTTGAATCTTTTAGGTTGTACTTGCTTTGGGTGATTACTTGAACGTGCAGTGCCATGCATGCATAGGAGGTACAAATGTTGGTGAAGATATTCGTAAACTTGACTATGGTCAACATGTCGTTTCGGGAACTCCTGGACGAGTTTTTGGTGAGTAATTTTAAAAAGTTTGAGTAAAGTGTTTTGGGGCAATGTTTTTGCAATCATTTAATGCTACTGTTGGAATCAAGAGTTTTTAATATATAATATTGGTTGTTTAGGATGGCTGAAAAAAGCTTTATAATATTGGTATATAAAGCTTTATAATATTGGTATATAATATTGGTTGTTTAGGATGGCAGAAAAAAAAACTTAGGATGGCTGAAAAAAGCTCAGTAAATCTTTAAAAGCAAAACGAAAGATTATTGTTCTAGATATGATCAGACGCCGCAATTTGCGTACTCGAAGCATAAAAATGTTGGTACTCGATGAAGCCGATGAAATGCTTAACAAAGGATTCAAGGAGCAACTTTATGATATCTATCGTTATCTTCCACCTGGTGCACAAGTTGTACTTCTTTCAGCAACCCTTCCTCATGAAATTCTTGAGATGACAAGCAAATTTATGACTGATCCTATTCGTATCCTCGTAAAACGGTTAGTTTTAACAATTTTTTTAATCGATTTTAGTTGTTAAGTTCGCCAGCAATGTTGATTCATCAAAGTTATTTTGTGTGATTTGTAAAAAGTGCATCATCAGTATTTTGGTTTCATGTTTTAATATCTAACGGAAATAAGAAGGTGAATAATAAATGCAAAACGAATGAGTTTAATGAATGTAAACTGATAATACATGTACAGGACTTTATGATTGCTAACAAAAATATTTTTCAGTGATGAATTGACACTAGAAGGCATCAAGCAGTTCTTTGTAGCAGTTGATCGAGAAGAATGGAAATTCGATACATTGTGTGATTTATACGATACTCTTACAATCACACAGGCAGTAATTTTTTGCAACACTCGAAGAAAGGTTATTTTTTAAATGTGATAGAAGGGAAGTTTCTGGCGAAGTTTGTTGGCATATGAATAGTTGGAAGCTTACTTTCCAGTACATGTGACATGTTTCGTTAGTTTGGCAAGAGTTGTTATGCAAACTGATTGCACGTGCTGATTTAGTAGCGACAACATATCAATATCTCGAATAATATTCGAATTTGATGTTTCCAAGAACGAAAAGAGTGATTTATAGGTTGATTGGTTGGCTGAGAAATTAAAAGAGGCAAATTTCACAGTGTCATCTATGCATGGAGAAATGGAACAAAAGGAGCGTGACGCAATTATGAAGGAATTCCGTGGGGGCGCCAGGTTGCTTTTAACATTAAAGAATAATATGGGACTAGCATTTTACTTTTTGTATTTTAAACAGCTATTAGCAATACTCCAGTTTTCAAATTTGGTATTTTTGAATTGATTTAAATTTCATACATAAAATTTTTTAGTCGTTTATTGATTTCAACGGATGTATTTGCGCGTGGATTGGATATACCACAAGTGTCACTTGTTGTCAATTATGACTTGCCAAACAATCGTGAATTGTATATCCATCGGTAAGTTTGTTGAACAGTAAAATCTTTAAATTCTTTCATCCTGTTTTAATTCATTAAATAAAAGACGGCAACAAGTTTACACCATTTATAGAATTGGACGATCTGGTCGTTTCGGTCGTAAGGGTGTTGCCATTAATTTCGTGAAATCTGATGACATCCGTATTTTGCGTGATATTGAACAATATTATGCCACTCAAATTGATGAAATGCCAATGAATGGTTGGTGGTTTTGTTTTTTATTATGTTGTTTAAGAATTTCAACAGTTGCTTTTATATTCAATTTGCATGTTTGATTCTCACTTTTCGAACACTTCAAACAATTGCAGTTGTCGTTATTAAGTAAATTTGGTTAGATGTTAGGATCTCTTGTAGCAAAATAGGAATAAGTAAATACTGGAATGCAATTATTACTCCAGTAATTTTCAGTTTGCTAAAGCTTCTCGATACTAGAATCATTCTTATATGTTTATTCTGATATAGTAAACAGCAATAAAACAACTTGCACTGAATTTTGTAGAACTTGACCTTATTTGTTTGAATGCATTTCTGATATTATACTGCTGTTGTCGTTGGTCTTGCGAATAATTTTTCGCTGCTATTTTCTTGCTTACGAGCTGAAAATATTGTCTCAAAAAAATCGATTATTATTTTCCATTGATTTCAGTGGCAGATCTCATCTGATATGTTGGATTTTCAAAACAATATTGATAAGAAAATGGACGAAATTTTTAAATATATATCGTAATTTGTTGATGTTGTGTTTTTTCTCGAAGTTCATTCTTCCAGAAGTCAGCAGTTTGGAAAAAATCATGTTTTATGCATCTTGATATAATGTAAAAGGGACAGCGAAATTTGAATTATATTTTGTTTTTAGTTTTTTCTTTTGATGTTTTTAATCAGATTGATGGCAACATAAATCTTTATAACTGTTTTTCTTATTTAAAATTCGTTATGTTTTCAGTGATGCTGTCGTTAACTATTATTTATATTCCACTGATCATTAGTTTTGTTTGTTGATGATGCCGAATAATAAATTTATATTCCTCTGTTCGAAAGCGGATAAAAATGACTGATAATAGGTTTTTAGGAGGAATTCCAGCTATGTCTTTGAAAGTTGACGAAAGTTTAGAAGTAATTGCTTTCATTTCAATTCCATCTTGACGTAGATTATATCTTTTAATTGTTTAAATTATTCCTCATACATTCAAAAACAAAATCATCGGATGAAAGTGTCAGTGATTAGTTGTGAAAGGAAAAATATATTTACAAAATACACAAATTCTAATAAATTCGTAAATTTTTCAAAATAATTTACTATTCTGTCATTCCTCCACTATGTTCGAGTGTACTGAATAAATAGTACCACCAATATACAAGCTAAAATGAACAAAATATTTGGTAGACTTAATGTTATCTTTTTCTATAGTTAATTTTTAAATTTCTCAACTAACTTTTAGTGTCATATCTAAATTAATGTTAGTTGCTGAATGAAAAATGAACAATTGATCATTACATTTGAATTGACTTTTCCTTTGGGATAACTTTTATGAAGTTACTTACAAGTAAAACATATATGCCATCACTCATTTATACGAATAAATTAAAATGAAGAAGATTTAAAACTCACATTGAAAAGAGTAAATGCAAGTGGAAAGCATACAAGTGATAATTTGTCAACCGTTTCCGGTCTAATATCAATTGTTAATAAACTTCGTTTACCGGAATATCGATTAGGATAAGTGGCCTGAGGGTTTAGAGAAGAAAAATATGATAAATTAATTTTTTAGCATAATAAAAACTATTAGCAATTTGTATTGCTTTATAAAATTAATCAACAGCTCATATATTTATTTTACCACAATATGCAAATCGAATAATTTTTTATTACCAAAAATAAATAGAAAAATTGTTAAAAACTCTTCGTCAGCTAATTAACTTAATCAGCTAATTAATTAACTAACCTTTTCAGATGTAAATAATCCATCAACATCGAAATTTGTAACCTCTGAAATATGAGTAGGATGAGATAAATTTTGTATACTTAATGATGGTGATGGTAATTTTCGAAAGATTGATGCTTCCATCGTATTATTTTGCAATTTTCCCTTTTGTTTTCTTCCATGCATTAAATTTGTTGATGGAAATAATGAGTAAGCTGAAAAAAAAAAGAAGGAAAGAGAAGAAAAACAAATTAATTTTATAGCAATTTGAAAAAGATTTTAAACGATTTAAAAAAGAAAACGAAAGAATTTGAAGTAAAAAAAAAAAAAAAAAAAGAAAATGAATCTAACAAAATTCATTTTTTCCTTTTTTTAATTATGTTTTTATTTATTTTCTCCCTTTTTCTTTCTTTTTTTTTTTCTTCATGTAATTATGTAATTGTATGAATGTAAATAAAATTTTAATAAATTCAATTACATTCTTAATATTTTAATAAATAAACGATAATACAAAAAAAAAAAAAAAACAGACAAATAGAAGAAAAAAGGAAGAAGAAAAAAAAAAAAACCTACTTTTCTTTTCTCTAAAAAGATTAATTAGATAATTTTTATTAAAAAAAAAAAAAAATTAAAAAGAAAACCATTAATTTATTTCCAATGATAACTTACTTCTTGATAAGCAATCAGGACGATGATAAATATCATTAGTATTTGGTGATACTGATGACAAGCATAATTGTTGTGAACGATGTTGTTTACATTGTCGTTGTTTTCTTGTTATTTTTTTCTTCAAATTTCCACCAAAACAACGTGTTATGAAGCATACAAATGCTAATTCAACTATTGTACAAAAAACAAATGTAATACAACCTGCAAATATTACTAATAATAATTAATATTAATAATAAAATGATTTCTTCTCTCTCTCTCTCTCTCTCTCGTTTCAAAATTTATTCTAATTTATTAAGGTTTATTTCAGTAATTTAAATTAATTTAAAATTCATTTTCAAATTCATCTAAATTTTTTAAAATTTATTTCAAGAAATTTATTCCAATTAAATAATTAAACAATGTTATATTAATTACATGAATAAATTGCATTAATATAATTTAAAAAAAAAAGGAAAAGTTTAACTTACCGAGCATCCAAACATCCATAGCTTTAATATATGAAACTCGTGGAAGATTTTTGAGAATATTACCAAATTGAAATGTCAAAGCAAGCAAAGATGACACACCAACCGTTGTGCGTGCTGGCAATGCCTTAGGTTCCATGCAAAAGCCAACCCAACTAACAATAATTGTTAAATAAGTTGGTATATATGCTTGTAGAATATAAAATCCGTAACGTCGTTTAAAAGTAAAAATAACCTATAAAAGAGAGAAATTTGTAAAATTCATTAAATTGTTAAGTAAGCTAAATAATTAAATTTTGATTTGCTTTTCATTTTAATTCACTTAATTAACAATAATTATATGTTATAATAATTAATTTATTAGACATATGTATTATATATATTATTAAAAAGTAATTCAATGTTAACTTATTATTATATATATATTTTCAATGTTAACTTATTATTATATATATATTCAGTGTTAACTTATTATTATATATATATATTCAATGTTAACTTATTATTATATATATATTTATTAAAAAAAAGTAATTCAGTGTTAACTTATTTATTCACATATTATTTATCTGTTTATTTATTTTGCTTATTTGTTTATTTATTTATACAAATGTTTAAATCAAAAGGTTGAAAATTGAGAAAAATAATCAAGAAATAAAAAATTAGAACTGCAAGAAAAAAAAAAAATGAGTTAAATAATATTTAAAGAAACAATATGATATATGTATATATAAAAGTTATACTATTTATTTGCTTATTTATTTATTCATTTGTTAATTAAATTGAAATTATATTTAGTAAATAACTGAAACAAAAAAAAAAGAAAAAAAGAAAAGAACTGAATAATAAAAATTAAAATTATTTAATAAATGATTGAAAAAAAAAAAAAAAAAAAAACAATTATAGAATCACATTCTACCTTTATCATTTTCATTTATTTTTTTATCAGTAATATTTACCTGAAGTTGATCCCAATAACCATTTGGATAAAGTATTGTCTCATTATTTGTCCTATAACATACTAAATCGAAATCCGGTAACTGAACCGGTTTCATTAATGTAATCGCATTTTTCATCCATCGTAATGTTACTTCATCTTTATTATGCGAATATGATTCAAATCTTAAAGTACTGCAAAAAAAAACAAAAAAAAAAAAAAACAAAAAACAAAATAAACAAATTTTATTATTTCAAATTTATATTAATTATTTGCTATATGTTTAAAAAAAAAGGAACAGAAAATACATTTCAGTATTAAATTTAATTTGTCTTTTTTTTTTTTTAAATTCACTTTTGTTTTTAGCTTTATTTTTTAATGAAAAAAAAAAAAAAGTTGAAATTAAAAAATTTTTTTAGGTTAAAAAATCTTCTTTTTTTTTTTTTCATAAGGAATTTCAAATATTTTCAGATGATTAGTGTAAAATTTTTTTATTACCAAGATTGAGTATCAAAAGGAAATATTCTCAGGTCAAGATCACAAGGTGCTTTGACAGACATTCGATAATTAACCCATATAGTACCATTCTAAAAATTTCACAATTTAAAATTAAATTCTAAGATTTTTTCATTTTGAAGTAATTTTAAAAAAATGCATTTAGTTTTTATTTTTTATTTTTAAAAATGCATTTCAAATTTGTTAGCACTTTTTTTAAATACAAAGTTTGTTTAATGGATGTTTTTTTTTTTTTCTATCATTCAAATTCCAGTAATTAAATTCTAAGAGATTTATTTTCTCATTTTAAATCAAACTTTATATTACTCTATTTTTTATATAAAGAAATTTTTTTGTAAAAACAATGAAAATAATGAATTTTAACTGAGAGATCAATTCTTTTGTATTTTTAGCAACATTAATTTTTCTAAAAAAAAAAGAAAAAACATTTTAGAAGAAAACTTTTAAGAAAAAATTAGTAATCAAAATGTGATTAAATTTATGTTTGACATAAAAAAAAAAAAAAAAAAGATTAATAAATGTTAAACAAATAGTTTGAGAAATATACCCGTAGTGATATTTGATTTGAAATAAAATGAAAAAACCAAAAAATATTTTAAATTTAATGATAAAATTCAAGGAATTTGATAATGGATAATAAATTGCATATAAAAAATTTTACCTAAGCAATGGAATTTTTAAAAAAAAAAATTTTTTTTTTTTTTTTTTTTTTCATTTTTTAAGCAAAATTTATTATAAAACATTTGTAATATTTCATGATTTTCATATTTAGGCGATTGAAAGTTTCTTAATGCCATTAAAATCTCAAAATAAATCTTTTTCTTTTTTCTTTTTGAAATAATAAAATGTTGACTAGAAATGGATATAAGGAGAAAAATTTTAAAAGAGGAGAAAAAAAAAATATTTGAAATAAAATGAAAAAAAAAAAAAATTAATGTAAAAAAAAAAAAAAAACAATGTAAAAAAAAAATAATTACTCTCAAAAAAATAATTTTTTATTTTTTCCAAAACTTTATTGCTTCTTGAAAATTTTCATCAAAGCTTAAGTTAAAAACACATTTTTAAAAGTAATTCTAAAATAATTGAATGAAATACTGCAATCAATGAAATTTATTCACACTAATAGACAATCTGGCTTAAATCATACAAATAAATTAGGTCTAAATCATTTTTGAATAATGTAAATTAATAATTACTACTTCAAAAATGCTTATCAATAAAAATGAATCATTTTTAATTTTAAAAAATTTAAAAAATTGTTTCTTCTTTTTTTTTTTTTTGCCTTATTTTTCAACCTTATCACTACTTTATCATTGGGAAAGATAATCAATCATTTATTTTTTAATTTTTAGCATAATTCATTGAATTAATTTGCACTAATGAAAAAATTCAATCATATATTTGTAATATTTTTAAAAAGTTTTATATCACATATCATAATTCATTTTATTTTTATACAAAATTGATTATTAAAATTAGAAATAATAAATAAACAAAGTAATTAATAAATATTATTTACTTACTTCATATAAGATAACCATAATATTATCAGTTGGTGAAGCATGTATCATTGTTCGTTTTGCATTAATTATACATGTATTTGGTGTCCAAATATGTGTTATAAACCTGCTCAATTAATTTTAATATTTCAATTAAAAATTTTATTTATTTATTTTTTTTTTTTGAATTTAGAAAAAATTCATAACTAAGAAATGTTAATATTTTAATTGACTGTTTCTTTTTTCCTTTATGCATTAGTTTTTTTTTTTTTTTTTTATTCTTTCTAAAATTAAGCAAATCATTGAAAAGTTTCTAAAAATTAACTTTAATTAATAAAGTAAAAATTTTAGTGATTAAATGTAAAATAAAAACAAAATTTAAATAAAATCGAAAAAAAAAAAACAAACAAACAATAATGTTATGTCTTTTTTTAATTCGTTTTTTTTTTTTTTTTTTTTTTTCTCCAAAATGTAATACAATATTGCATTGAAAAATTGGATTTATAATTAAAAATTATTTTATAAATTTTTATTTTTGTTTATTTAATTAATTAATTAATTAATTTACTTTGATTCCATTGTTATATTTCGCTTGCAAGCATTATAATTAGCAAAACTTAATGATTGATCATTCCATAATTGTGTGTATAAAATGTCAACGTTAAAATCAGCGGTAATTTCATTCAATGCTGAAACATCCTGAAAAAAAATTTTTCTTTTTGCCATTTTCTTTTTTTTTTTTTTTTTTTTTTTTTTTTTTTTTTTTTTTTTTTTTTTTTTCAAATGTTTAATTCTTATCTGTTAGTAATTAATTGTAATTAAGAATTAAGAAAAAATATTTATTTCATAAAAATGCATATGTATTAAATACAATATGTAATTTAATTATTAAAATATTTAATAAATAAAACATTAAATATTTTGATAGAGAGAAAGAGAGAGAGAGAGAGAGAGAGAGAGAGAGAGAGATTCATCAAGTAAATTATTAAACAAATTTTCTTCCTTTTTTCTTCGTTTTTTTTTTTTTTTTTTTTTTTTGCACTCCTTTTTTTGAGGTGAAATTATATGAATTTTAATAAATACTAAGTAATTTCAATTTGCATTTTAAAAAAAAAGTCATAAAAAATAAATTAATTGATTTGTTATACTAATAATTAACAATGAATGAATATTAATATCTCAAATAAAAATTTCATTTTTCCTTTTTGTCAAATATTTTAATCAAATTAAAAATTATAATTACAAAATGTTGATTAAATTTATTCGATACCTGTACATGTATTTCAACATCTACTTGTACAGCATCTTCAATTTCAGGTAATATTTTAGTATAATTTTCCATTAGCGCTTGTATAATAGCATCTTCCTTCCAAAATCCATCTGGGCATTTTCGACGTCGAGCAGTTGCCTGAAATAAAACTAAAATTTTTAAATTTTTTTTTTTTGTGCTCATTTAAAATTAAAAAAAAAAAAAGAAATGTTATTAGAAAATATAAATAATCATAGTGTTAGCATTAGCTTAGCAATTAATTTTCGATTAATTAGCAAAAAAAAAAAAAAAAATACACATTATATTGGCAAAACTTTTATTATTTAAATAATTGAAAGGGAAAAAAAAATACATTAATTAATAAGCTTTCACTTACTTTATCAAATAGAATAAAAGTAAAAATAATTGTACTCAATAAAAGTGATAGCATTGATTTATGTGCTGGTATATTCCAATTAATCAAATACATTTAATCATTGGATGTAATTCGATTCCTAAATTCTATATGTAAAATTAAAAATAGTTTTTTTTTTTCTTTGAATAAATTTTGAAATTTCAATAAAAAAAAGAAAAAAAAAATTATTAACTTAACTTTGTAATAATAAAAAGCGTTTAAAGTTCTGCCTTTTTTTTTTGTTGAAACATTAAAAAATATACGGAAAAACAAACTTTTGGAAATGTAATTTTCATTTATAGTAAAATAATTTAAAATACATAAATGTATACGTAATACGTAATACGTGAAAATGTATAAAATGATGGTTGCGTGAAAATATTTCAAATTTTGCTGTAATATTTTGCAATAAATATATAATATAAATTATATCTGATAATATTGTCTGACAAAACTTTTTAATTCGAACAATTTGTTTCGAGTGAATAGTTTAAAACTGTTAAATTTAATGAAGGAAGCAAAGTTTCAATTTTCTTTTCGATTCCTTAATGCTAATAAAAAGTTAAATTACAATGTGATAAGTGAATTTCAATCAAAAGCATTCCAAAAGAATTAAAAGAGTATGAAAAAAAAGATTAACAATTTCAAAAAAAAAAAAAACTTGAAAATTTGAAATAAAATTATTTAAAAAAATTTTCAAAAGTTTGGTCAGAAATTGATAAATAAACATTATTTCATCTAAATAAAATAACAATTACAAATGGATAAAACCAATTAATTTTGTTTTTATTCGTTGTTGTTGTTTATTGTGTTTGTTGTTGTTTACTTTTGTTGTTTCTATTTTGATTTTACTGTTGTTGCTATTATTGTTTCTGCTTTTTGCTATTGTATGCTATTGTTACTATTGTTTTATTCACGCTGGAAAATTAAGTTTTATTGCTTTTAATGTTTTTATAAAAAAAAAAAAAAAAGTATTGAACACTTATTATAATATGTTTCAATATTTATTAGCAAAATGAAATACTATTTGTTTTTGTTTTTGTTTTCTTTTTTTGCTAAGAAAATAATCACAAAATGGTACAATAAGCAAAGTGCAAGCAAAATAGAAATTTATAAATAAAATCATAAATTAATTGAAAGGAATTTGTTTTAACAGCAAAGAATGCTTATGCTTTAAATGTTTTTTGATTTATTATTAATATTATTGTGAAACAGAGCATTAATAACTTAAAAAGAATGCTCAAATATTATTTAAAATTCTAAAATATTTAAAATTTTTAGCTTTTTAATTTTTCAAACTTGAGCATTCCTTGTTTTCTTATTTTTTTTTAAAAAAAAATTTTTTTTGATTAAATAAACTGTTAAAAAATTGATAAATTTATTTTTTTTACAGCTATTTTAAAATTAGTCTTTTTTTTTTTAAGAAAAAATTAACTCAAAAAATAACAAATCTCTGTGCTATTTTTCTTCTCAAAAGTTGTTATCAGCAACAATTTTGAATTTCGATATGTGCGCTTAATTTAGTTGAAATTTAATTGGTAAAAATAATCGAAAAAATTTAATAAATATTGAATAAATAAATAAATGCAATGGTCTTTTAGAATTTTAAGTTTTTTTTTTTGTTTTAAATTTATTTGTGATATCGTTAATGAGCAAAACATTTACAATTTATTATTTAAATGATAATTAAATGAAAAATTATGAGAATTCAATCGAAGAATCTTAAAAGTTTAATTTTTTTTCAATATTTTCTTTTTTTTATAAAATTTGTCGCAACTGCAATTTTTAATTTTAATATATGAATATAATTCGAAACTGTTAAGAGAGAATTAAAACTGAACAGTGTTGTGAGAATTAATTTATTCGAGAACTGAATTACTAAATGGTAATAACCGTACAATAAATCATTCTAATAATTTAAGTAATTAAATTCATTCAATTTATTGAATAAGTAATTAAATTTACTAAATGTTTCAGATAGAAGTTTGAATTATAATAAAAATTATTTAGCTACCATTCAATTACACAGCACTTTCTAGAAAAATGATGATGATAATAATAATAATAATAATAATTCAAATGTCAATAGTAAAAAATAAAAATAAATAGTAACAATTGTAAACAATAATAATAATAATAAAATAATAATAATGATAATACATCAATATTTATGATATCAAGATTGCTGTGTAGCATGTAAAAGAATTCATGATATTGCTTTTAATTTATTTTAAAACTTAAAAATTTTGAAATTGATTTTTAATTATTATTAAAAAAAATAAATTTAAAAAGAAAAAACGACGAATCGTAAAAGAGCAAATTGATGCTTAAACATTTCCAAGTTGCATTTTTTTAAATGTACGCCTAAAAAGCTTATTAAAATTATAATTTATTACGTTTAAAAGAAAAATTCTATCAGTATTAAATAATTTGAAATATAAACGTATGCTGTGAAAAAAAAAAAATTGTTTTTCTGAAAAAAACAAAAAACAAAAAAAGACAAAATGGAAAGGTATGAAAAAAAAAAGAGAAATAACTTTCATCAATTAATAAAAAATTATTTGATTTTTTATTTAACATTAATTATTATTATCACTATTATTATTATTATTATTATTATTATTATTATTATTATTATTATTATTATTATTATTATTATTATTATTATTATTATTATTATTATTATTTTTTATTATACATAAAAAATAATCATCGCTTTTTTCTTAAAGAAAACACACAAATATTTTGTTTTTTCTTAAAAAAAAAAAAAAACTGTCATTTAATTATGTAAGCTTTTTGCATTTTAGCAATTAATATTAATTATTGATTTGTTTTTTTTTTTTATTCCTTTCTTCTTCCTTTTCTTTTTTTCAAAGGACTATTTTGTTTTTTGTTTTTTTTTTTCACTTTTTTATTTTTAATTTTTTGTTTCTTATACAATTATTAAATAATATTTAAAAAAAAATTTAATAAAATGAAAATAGCGATTAGAAATTAAAAATGAAACAAATATGTGTGAAATATTCCATAAAATAAATAAATGAAAAAAAGAAAATCAAAGATTGCATTGTATTTATTTACAGTTTTTCTTTCTTTCTTTCATTTTTTTTTTTTTTTTTTCCAATTTAAATGCAAAACTTATTAAAATATATAAATAAATGAAAGGAAAATTTTGCAAATTATTGATAAAAATATGCCAACAATCAACAATTAATAATTTATGAAACTTTTCAGTGCGTATTTAAAAAATTGTATTTTCTAAATTTTATAAATTATTAAATTTTTCAATAATAACAGTTTAACTTATCAAGCAATAATAATAATAATAATAATAATAATAATAATAATAATAATAATAATAATAATAATAATAATAATGATAATAATAATAATAATAATAATAATAATAATAAATAATAATAATAATAATAATGATAATAATAATAATGATAATAATAATAATAATAATAATAATAATAATAATAATAATAATAATAGGAATTTTTTTAGCATATTACATAAAAGAAAGAAAATCATATTTGAGTTATCTTTCTTTTTTTCATTCATTACATTAAAAGAGAGGAAGATAGAGAGAGGGAGAGAGAGAGGGAGAGAGAGAGAGAGAGAAGAATGAAATTAAATGAAAAATGATAGGATAATTAAACAAGAAAAGCTTTTTCTATCTTTTTTTTTTTATTTCTTTTCAAGAAAAATCTTATTGTAATCTTTTGCTTCCCTCCTTCTTTCTTTCTTTTTTGTTTTTTTTTTGTTAAGCTTTTTTAACAAATAGCGCTTTTAATGATATAGCTTAGCGGAAAATATTACTCTTTTGCTTTGAATAAACGGAAAAAAAAAAAGCTAAGTAAAATGATTAAACTATTTTATTTATTTTTTTTTTTGTTTTGTTTTGATACATTTTAATTACTTATTAAATTTTTGGTTTCAATAATAGTAGAAAATAAGTCTACAAGTATTACAATTAATAATATTCTTTTCATAAATAGCGCTTTAATGATATAAAACAAATTATTTTTCATTTTAACAAAAAAAAAAAAAAAACAAGAAAATAAACAGTTAAATATTCAATTACTACAACAATATTTGTTTTCTTAAATGCTAATTAAATATTAGATTAATCGTTTTCCTTTCAATTTGTTAAAGTTTATTGATTATTTTTAGTCTTTATTATTTCATTCTTCAAATAAGATAAGTATCATTTGCAAAAAAAAAAAAAAAAAGTTTTGGAAGATTTTATAAAAAATTATAAAATTTACTCTAGTGAAAAATTTAATAAGTTTTGATTTAAAATATAAATTTATATTACATAACAGTGTGATATTCACTTAATAAAATAAAATGCCTCATATTACTTTTAGATAAATTAAGATATTTTAGAAAAAGGAATTGACATTATCATTTAAGTAATTTTGATTGAATTTTAACTTTACGCTTCTTTTCTTTTCTTTTCTTTTTTTTTTTTTTCGTCATAGAGAATTTAGCTAACAAACATTGATTTTCACGATGTAAGAGAAATTTGATTAAATTATTAACATTGCAAAAGTTTAGATGCAAATTTCAGTTTCATTTAAAAAAAAAAGTTTCTGTTCATTTGAAATAAATTTTTGCAAAAAATGTTTTGAATTATTTTTAGCATAAAAATGAAGGAATTTTTTTATGTTTTTTTTTTTCTTTTTTTTTTTTTTTTCACTGGAAAAATTAAATGATTAAAATTTTTTTGAAAAATTTTTTATGATAATAGAAGTAAATTTTCTATTTATTATTATCAAAAATTATCATCAAAAAAAAAAAAAAAAAAAAGGAAAAAAACGTTGAAAAAAGATGTCAGTGATGCAGGAAAAATATAGAAAAAACATATAAAAATATAAATTAATTAAAAAAAAAAAAGGAAGTAGCAATAGCTTACTATTTTAAAACGCAAAAATTAAAATTTTTAAAATTTGTCTTTTAAATCATTTGATTTATTAAAAAAAAAAAAAAGAAAACCCAAAATTAAAGTAATTTTTCAGTATCATTAT